GGGAATTAAAATAACCATGGCCGCCGCTTTTTTCCGGCTTGGCGCGATCCTCCGGAATAAAGCCCTATTCCGGAGGATCTCTTATTCCGGAGGATCGCGCCAGTCTGGACGCTCTTTTCCAGCTTTTCCCCAAGCCGGAAAAAAGCGGCGGCCATGTTTATTTAAATCCCGCGGGGGATATTTATTTCCCTATTCTGACTTCTCTCATTTCCATAGCTATTACGGGTTATGTGGCCAGTGTAGACACAGCCCATGTGTGTATATATAAAACAAATTTATATGACAAAAAAGCATATGCCCTGGATTCTGTTATTTTTACTCCAACTCATCTGATGAAGTGGGTTTTACTCTAAGGTGCCATAAGAATACTCATTGTTTTTAAAGTTACAGACTAACATGGCTACTCCTCTGAGACAATTCACAAATAGTATCATGGTTGGAGGTTGCATAAACCTCACCCAGCCCAGACACGGCAAGATTGACAGAGTGATAGTTCTTTCTTGATTCTGTGAGTGGTGGTGCATGGCTGTTTTTCATTGGTAGAGCAATTTGTCTGGTTAATTCCAATAATGAACGAGACTCTGGTATGCTAACTTGGGCATGCCCAAGCCCCTTCTCTGCCGCACAAGCCCCGCACAAGCCCCTTCCCTACCTTCTGCCTTCCACTTTGTGGGGCCGGAGTTTGCACTTCAGACCCTGGAGTCCGAACCCAGAGCTAGGCCACGCCCTGCAACGTGGCTCCCAGGAGTTTTAAAATCCTGGGCCATGATGTCATGTCACGCCTGGGAGTACTCCCCGCCCACCTGCAACACTGCGCATGGCAGCAGCAGACGGTGAGGGGGAGCCGCGCTGAGAGCTGTGCATAGCAGGGATGGTCTGGGGCCGAGGGGGACACTCTGGGGGCAGGCGGCAGGGGGGTTCCAGGGCCCACTCCAGGCAGAGCTGGGGGAGAGACCCAGCTCCACATTTTGCTGGAGCAGGGCCCCAGCTCTGAATAGTAACTCGCCGGCACTTCTGGGTTCGGGCGCGGGGCCCCCTGAGGTGTGGGGCCCGAATCGGTTGAATCGGCCTAAGGCCGGCCCTGACCCCTGCTATAGTAGCTGTGGTTAGGACAAACTCAGGATTCTCTTGCTGCTGTTACTGCTGCTTAAGGCATTTTACAGAGAATGCCTCTTCAGAACCCCAAAGCAACCCCCACCCAAAGCCTCATAAGACTTTTCCCAAAAGCTGCCTAAAACTGTCATCTTCCCAAGAAGAGGTCTTCCAGTGCATTCTTTCTTTCAGGTTTCTTGTAGTTTCTGTTCTTCTAAAAGATCCCAAACCCAGTATAAGTTCAACCTGCTAGCTGTCAGCCTTATAAAATGGTTGTTCTCCAAGAATCAATTCTCATCCAATCAGCTGTCAGTTTTTCTCTTTCCTATGACATCATACCTATTTTTAGTTAGGAGAGCTCCTCCTCACTCCAGCTTGGATTCTGGAAGTTTCTAAAATGTTCTAGAAAGTTCTGGAAGATCATTTCCCCACTACTATGTCATTACTATATGCACCATTTTGTCCTGCCATATTGGATTTTCTAAATTTAGACCAAAATCACGAGGCTTCCTGTGGCACCTTAAAGACAAACAGATTTATTTGGACATAAGCTTTTGTGGGTTAAAAAAAAAACAACCCTTTGTCAGATGCATTGGCGTGGAAATTACAGTGGAAGGGATAGAGATATGTACACACACACACACACACACGTATATCCAAATAATGGAGTTACTTATCAATATAGAACCCATGTTAATGAGGCCAGTTCCCTCAGGGTTGATGTAGCTTACCCCCAGCAGCTGATGAAAAGGTGTGAATCCAAGAGAGGGAAAATTGCTTTTGTAGTGAGAGAACCCATTCTAAATTCAGACTATTGTTAATTTCCACTTATTTCGAGCCTTCATTTTGTACCTTATGACTGTTATATATACATTAAATCATTCTGATATTGTCACCACTTTTTTATGTCCAGTTGAAAGAAATGTAACTTTAAATTTAAATCTCTTCTGAAGTTTATCTGTAAGCCTCTATTCAGAACATTCAAGGCAAAAATGTCTCACTACAATGGAATCTACAGTCTTTGAGCTTTGAAAAGCGAATGTATTGTATAAGTATCAGTACCCTGTTTTAGGTATATTCCCCACTCACATATTTAATACCTAATGAAATTTGTCTGGGGTTCATATGGGACTATATCTTCTTTCCATGTTAAAGATTTGCATAGGATGGATAGCTAGGAGAGTTCACAATGAAACAGTAAAAGGATATTTAGAGGAAATGTGGCTTTCTAATGGTCATCAATCTTGTGGCTCCTGGTCATTTTTCAAATCACCATATCATGTACAGGGATGGAAAAAAGATATTTAATAAAGTTATTGTTTTGTGCTATAGAAAATATATAGAGAGCAATAGTTAAATTGTATTTTGATAATGTATTCTGTTACAATTGCAGTCTAGTAACCTTTTCCATTAAGAGTCTGAGAGGGGTAGCCGTATTCGTTGTTTTTAAAGTTACAGACTAGTAGCCCTGCAGCACGTTAGAGACTAGCAAAATATATAATGTATCAAGAGCTTTCGTGGGCAAAACCCACTTCCTTAGATGAAGTGGGTTTTGCCCACGGAAGCTCATGATACTGTATGTATTTTTTTATTAGTCTCTGAGGTGCTACAGGATTACTTGTTTGTTTCAGTTAAGGTTCCATAAATATTTCCATAGTCTAGCATGTTGTTTTCAGATCTTAACAGCTTTCTAAAACATTCGCTATTTGGACTGAAACTTTTCATGCTTACTCTTAGCTTGAAGATGATTTTTGTTTTTAAAGTTTGAGCAAGTGTGGTTCAGCCATCTGGAACATTATATGTGATTTTAGATATATGCATGTAAAGTTTTCAAAAATGTGTCGTTTTTGAAATAATGTTATACTACTAAAATAATTGCACGTAGAGGCAGTTAAGGGTGTGCTTGCAACCATGATGATGTTCTTCAGGTGATGTCCCTGTGGATGCTCCACTGATGATGGTGACGCGTCATCCCTGGAGCCGCAATTCGGAGTTTTTTTTCTAGCAATTTACGGTCGGGCTGCATGCGTGCAACAGGCGTCTTGTGCTGGTGACAGTTGGACACCTCGCATGGCAGCCCAACCCCTTCTTCGGTTTCTCTTCAACTGCCCTTGGCTGTGGATGGACTTTTAATCTCTCTTGCCTCAGGCTTTTTTTTCCTTAGATCCTTGTTACTTAATTGCTTCTACCCTCAGCTATTGCCCTTAATTGATTGACTGTTACATCGTCAAAGGAGAAACAGCAGGTGAAAGAACAGGCTATCCCAGATTACCCCTGACACCGGTGGATGGATTTAAAAAAAAAAAGAGAGAGAGAGAGAGAGAGAGAGAGAGAGAGAAAAGAAACCAATTGGAGGGGAAAGAACAAGAGGGCAGCCTGAGACCGAAAATCACTCAGCATGCCATCCCCTACCGAGTTCAAGAAATGTGTAAACTGCAGTAAGCCCATGCCACCTTGTATGGGCATGTATAATGTATGAGATGCCTGGGGGAAGCCCATGCCCCCCAAAAGTGCAATCACTGTAAAGGGCTCATAGCCAGAGCCAGGAAGGACTGCAAAATGCGGCTACCGATGCTGCTGTTTGAAAAAGCTCTGCTTCCCTCTAGCGAGTCTGATATGTCAACAAGCCATGGAGACCTGACGTGCAGGTCCACGACTCCAGTGCCTCGCAAACATAACAGAGCAGCAGCAGCCTCTCTGGCCAGGTCCCTGCCAGCAAAGCCTTCCCCCAGACTATCCTCCGGTAAAGCCCTACAACCAGCACCGATGCCCATAGCCGAAGCCCGAAATATCTCAGAGCCAGCGCGTGGGTCGGTGGCACCGCAGGGGTCGAGCAAACACAGCATGGCACTGAAGCAGCCGGCACCGCAGCATTCAGTGCTGCGAGGAAACACAGAACTGCCCGCTAAGCAGATCTGCAAAGTTCCAGCATAGCCTCCAGCAAAACCATCATGAGGAGAAAGCCCCTCCCTATCAGAGAATTTAAAGCAGACGCAGCATAGCGCTGCAATGCAGAATGAAATCAACTTCCCGGTGACAGCTGGTAACTACAGCGGTGAGACAAGTCCCCACCCACCCTCGAAGGGTCTCCCACGATTGCTGGACTCTCTGGTTTCACCACAACATCAGGCTAGACCCTGTCTTTTGCAGGGGAATACCGCAGTTAATGAAGCTGATCAGAGGAGGGTCTTCTCCTCACAGCACTCATCCCCAACTGCAGTTCATCATTTTCAACAGCACTATGAAAGACCTTATCATCCTTACTGGTACCCAGAATTGCAATATCCTCCTCTCTATTACCTTCCCAGGTAAACACCATGGGATTATTGGGAGCTACGCAGATACCACCCACAGGTCACAATGGCCTTTGCTAAGGGTTTCCCACCACCCTCTCCACCTCACACCCTCCCACCTTCGATAGATTTGGAAGATGTGGACGAGGGCCAAATTACCAGCAGGGAGAGTGTCACACAAGATCAGTCGACAATGGAGAATAATTAGTCACCATCCTCCCACGACACTGTGGTACCTGAAACATCCGCCAATTCCAGGAACTTTTTAAAAGAGTAGCCACCAGTCAGGAGGTGCACCTCCAAGAAGTCAAGGAGAAACAACATCACCTCTTGAAGAACATCTGCCCATCCTCTCAGGGAAAGATAGCTCTTCCTATCTATGAGGCAATAATGGAAGAGTCTGATGAAGTCTGACGCACACCTGCCTCAATACAGCTAACCTGCAAAAGAGTGGGTAGATATACTTTGTCCTTCCTAAAGATCTGGACTTTCTCTTCTCTCACCCTCAACCAAACTCGCTAGTAGTGGATGCAGCCAACCAACGATCCAAAGCTCCCCAATTCAAGGCTGCAAACAGTGAAAAGGAGCACAAGAAGCTTGACCTCTTCAGCAAAAAGACCTATTCATCAGCCACTTTACAGCTAAGAATAGTGAACTACTCCGCACTATTAGCAAATCACTATTCTAAACTGGTGGAACTTATGGAATATCTACCCGACTCCAAGAGGCCCATTTTTTGGGCAGTCATCCATGAAGGACATGCTATTGCCCGTACCACCCTACTGGCAGCCATAAACATGGCTGATATGGCAGCCAGAGCTGCTGCTATAGCTGTAGTCATGAGAAGAACATCCTGGCTGCATGCAGCAGGGATGGCCAGGGAGCTGCAGATGAAAGGGGAGGATCTACCTTTTGATAAACTAAAACTGTTCACAGCCAACACAGACGAGATTTTGCATAGTAGCAAAGATTCTAGAACCACTTAGGCACCCTTGGCACGTACACAGCACCATACAGGAGAATGAGATACATCCTGTATAACAGAAACAAGGACAACTATTACAACAAAGATAATATGACTGCAACCAATTCCGACAGCGGCCCCAGGGGAAGTGGCCTCCTCAATCATGATCCTCTGATTCCCAGACCGCCAAACAGCAGATTTGAGATCTTGGTTGAGGGTCTGCCCGACATCCCCGATTGTCCAGTGACGAGCCAAAAATATCTGTTCAGCCCACAGACTACGCCCCTTTCTCCATCAGTGGGGCTCAATAACATCAGACCAGTGGGTGCTAGAGATTATACGTGTCGGATACTCCATACCCTTCACAGCACTTTCCCCTACTTCCCCTCCTACCCCGTCCCTCTTCAGGGACCCCTCTCACGAGACCCTCCTCAGGTTGTTAAATTTATATAGTTTGTTATTAGCTTGTTGTAAATGTTACTTTTTTCGCCCCAGAACTAACTGAAGATGAGTGTAGATTTAGCTGTCTGCATAGTTCCATTTCTGAGCTACATTGTGTGATGCTGATGAATTTTGAGAACTTGCTAAAACCCAGTACCCCTTTTAGATATAGAAGAGCATTCTGGCTAAACCAAGTGTTCAGAGCTGAAACAAAATACAGGACTATGTAGCACTTTAAAGACTAACAATATGGTTTATTAGCTACACCAGACTATGTCTCTCATGGATGTGTACTTATTAAGTTCACACAGTGGGCATCTTACATCAGTGGAGTACTGTTGTAGTTTTGACACTGAGTGTCTTATGTTGAGCTACTTGTAATGTAACCCAGGCCTTAGATGTCTGCTTCTCAGCAGATGGAGGTCAGTCTTCATTGGCGTCAAGGGTGCTTTGTCTCTATGGAAGCCTGCTCCCAAGCAGGAATTATTTGTGTTTTCTATTCAGTCCAACACTGTGGTTATGTTTGTTGCTGTTCCCTGAACTACTTAACATTTCTCAATATATTTTTGGAAATGAGCAGTGGCACATTGCATGGCTAAAACCTAGTACCCCTTTTAGATATAGAAGAGCATTCTGGCTCTTTTTCTTCATAAAGCCCTCCCTACTGCTGTTGGGACACTCTTCCCATTCTGACTTTAGTCCATTTTCCTTCAAAATCCCGATGAGTTCACATTTCTGCCAATTCGCTGCCGCCTCTAGGTTCCCAGCCTGGTGGAAAAGTCAGGAATTGTCCATGGCAAGTTGAATTGCATAGGCATACCTAGGATCTGTGCAAGTTTCTGGAAGCATGGAGACTAGACAGGCCTCACTGAAGAATCTGTATCTGATCCATCTAGTGGAAGTAATTTTATTTAAACTGTGTTATTCTGAATAAGTTATTTTTGCTTTATTCTCTTTGTATATTGATCACTATATTTAGATGAACAAATTTTAAAACTATTTTTAAAAGTAAGAAGATGAGTGAGGGTATGTCTACACTACCCCCCTAGTTCGAACTAGGGGGGTAATGTATGCATACCGAACTTGCTAATGAAGCCCGGGATTTGAATTTCCCGGGCTTCATTAGCATAAAGCCGGCGCCGCCATTTTTAAAAGCCGGCTAGTGCGAACCCCGTGCCGCGCAGCTACACGCGGCACGGACTAGATAGTTCGGATTAGGAAGCCTAATCCGAACTATCTAGTCCGTGCCGCGTGTAGCCGGCTTTTAAAAATGGCGGCGCCGGCTTTATGCTAATGAAGCCCGGGATTTGAATTTCCCGGGCTTCATTAGCAAGTTCGGTATGCATACATTACCCCCCTAGTTCGAACTAGGGGGGTAGTGTAGACATACCCTGAGCTATTAACAGTAAAATGCTGTGTTATGGAGAAATATTTGTAGTAGGGATGTTGACATGCAGTTGACTAAACGATTAACTGATAAGCTTAGGCTTATCGGTTAATCTTGTCAACTACTTGCATATCCTCCTCCAGGTGCCTGGGGGCGGGGAGGAGCCTCCTTAAAAGGCAGTTCCCTGAAGCACCGGCTCCGCAGTGCCACCTTTCCCCCCACCACACTGCTGCCTCTATCAGAGACAATTTAGGTCCCTGGGTTTTCATAAGGAGCTCGTTTTTAGACTGGTTTCCCTTGCGGACTGGCTCCCAGTACAGAGGCAGCAGCGCGGGCTGGCAGGGGGCTCCCCGGGAATGGGGCTAGAGTGCAATGCCTGCTGGCCCTGCCCCTGGGGACTATAGAATAGTCAGGTAACGGGTAAGAATTCATGCAGTTACAAGACTATTCTATTACCTGATATCTAACATCCCTAGTTTGTAGGTCCTTATATTCAGCGATGAAACCAGAAAGAACCACAGTGTTCAACTTGACTGACTGCCTGTCTGCCACACGGTTTTCCTGAATTAATTTCTGTTTGAACTGCAGCATATCTTTTAGAAAAATATTCAATCTTGCTTTAACAGAGATAGAAAATCTCCTGCCTATCATCTTTGTTCCTATGACAACACTAATTGTTTTAGATTGTGAATACTTTTATGGAGATAAAATATTAACGTACTGATAACTACAAAAAGGCACTGGTTTACAATAAAATATATTTTATTTCAGTACCCTTTTGTAAAAATGTACTTACTCCTCTTCTGAGTTTAACTATATTTTTTCTTTCAGTGAGTACTGCTCCACAGCAAAAGCCTGTAAGTACATTTATATAACTCATATCTAAAGCATCTTGCTGTCTTTGTTATTATTAGCTGCTAGACTGATGACATTTTGCATTCTATACAGAAGCTCCTCTGACTTTAGCTTTTATCCTTAAATGAGTACTTTTTGTGCTGAGGTCTTTATTCATTTCTAATGATTTTGTAGCAATTGAGGTCAAAAGTGGTCTAGCAGTTCTTTAAGATACATTTTTTCTTTCATAGTAATGATAAATTTATTTCAAAATAGAATTAAATATGGACCATAGACAAAATGCATAATTGCAGTTTTAAGCACAATGTTTATCCTACAATGACTATTTATACATTTTTTAACAGTCTCCAAAGCTGTAATAATAGCCTTATCTGGAATGAAGTTAAGGAATTGCCATTTTTCATCTTTCTTATGAAATAATGCTGATGTTGCTTTCTTAACCTTATGCACTGCAAGCAGTCCCATTGATTTCAGTGATCTATTTCTAATTGTCCTGCAAGTAGGGATGTTAAACATTGTGTATTTTAGTACCCATTCCTAGGTAACCCTCTGCCACTCTGCGCTGCTACCTTTGTATCAGAGGCAGTAGGATGGAGTAGCAGACAAGCCAGTTTGCGAGGGGAGCCAGTTTAAAAATCGTTTCCCTGAGCAGACTGGCTCCTGCCTGCTGCCTCTGATACAGAGGTAGCAGCGCAGGGCGGCAGTGCCTCTAGTCGGCGGGGGCCCAAGCCCCTATCCATGGTGAGCCATGGATACCGCCTCCTCTCCCCCTTGTTGCCTGGGCTTATCGGATAATTGTTGTAAACGACTGTAAGCTAACGTGCCTAGCTGTGAGTTGCTTGAAGATTATGGGGTCTATACATGAACCTTTCAGAGTAAAAATTAGCCCTTCATTTAGCACTTAATTATTTTGAATGATCAAAGAGGAAAACTTCTGTATGTATATGAAAAATAAGATACCTAATTAAAATGCAAAAAGAAATAAAAAATGTTACTGTAAAATAGGGTTGTAAAATCATGTTTAATTCATTACCTGGTTAAATATTATGTTTAACTGGTTAACTGATGAAATGGGGCTGGCAGGGAAACTGCTCCAGCCCCTACTAGTAGGGGAAGTCTCACCCATTACGGGTGCGAGTGAGGTTAACCAGTTAACCATTCACATCCTTATGGTAAAACTACATTAGTCTGCTGTCTCTAACCTGTTAATTTTTCTTTTGCTTGTTGTTACTGTACCTGGAAGCACCTTTTTTCATTCCTTACGGTATATAAAATTAGAGATTTATCACTTCCTACTTCCATTAGTGATTCATGTTATTACCCATTTCATGTTAAAAAACCTTCTTTTAATTTTTACGAAGTTGTAACTAAACAGTGCATAGATTATTTTAGATAATTTCTTCATCTTTTTGCATCCATTTGCTGATTCCTAGCAGCTGTGTTTTCACTGAGTTGGCATACCAGAAGAGTAATAAAACATTTGTACATAGTTAGCAGAGTACCTTCCATATGCATGAACATATCAATAGTGGTCTAAAGATTAAGGATGTTGCTGTTGACCAAGATTAAATTAATCAAATCAGTTTTACTGTACTCATATTATTTGTTTTTTAGTTTAATTAGCAGGCCTGGGGTTATGTACCTTTTATTTGCTTTATACAACCTGAAGTGCTTTTCGAGATCAAGATTAAATGGAGAACACAAATACTTTAATATGATACATAATATCCAGAATGTACAATAAAAACTTATTGAAATTATTTAAACATTGATGTGAGATCTTTGAAAGAATAATCAGTTAACATTATTTTTCTTCATTAAATGTAGGTTGGTAAAATATCTAAAAACAAAAAGAAAAAACTGAAAAAAAAACAGAAGAGGCAAGCTGAGCTACTAGAGAAACGCCTGCAGGAAATAGAAGAACTGGAGCGAGAAGCTGAAAGGAAAAAAATAGAAGAAAATGTAACCTCAGCTATACCATCAAATGAACAAGAAGATGAGTACCACCCTGAGGTCAAGCTAAAAACAGCTGATTTAGAGGAGGTAGCAGATGAAGAGCCTGGAAATGATGATGGTTAGTAACTTCTATTTACAGATATTGAAACTAATTTGGAACTTTAATTTTATTTTCTGAAACTGGTTTATTTTAATTATTAATTAATTCCACAAAATTTCTAAAACGAATAGGTTTTATATATTTTCAGTGTAGTTGTAACCATGTCAATCTCATTATACTAGAGAGGACAATGTGAGTGAGATAATATCTTTTATTGCAGTGGTTTCCAACCTTTTTTATGCCACGCACCAGCAAGCTCATTCAAAAACATTTGGTGGACCGGCACTGAAACATTTGCATGTTCATTGTGGTAATTACTTTATTTGTGTATTCATTATGGGAATTAATTTTAAGTAGTCACGTGTTGTTTTACATTGCATCTATATGCACACAGTGCATGTCATTCATTGGCATTAAACCTGTGTGCTGATTCCTGTGCACTTAATAAAGTAGTTTAGTTTTTAATAATCAATATTAGCTTAGATTTTTCCCCCGTATAGTTTTAGCCGTGAATGCAGCGTTATAGAGCTGGGGATATGGCCTAGCCAAACAAATAGTGAAGTATCCCTTCCCCAAATAATGTGAAGTCTAAAGACATACAAATATACAGTGGCGAGTCATCTCCAATTTACCTCTCTTAATTGGAGCTGCAGTGATAGAGGGCTGGCTCAGCAGTTCTTGGTCAGCATCTTGTCACAGAATTACCCCATGCTAAATGTATTGCAAGCCCAGCCACATGTATCCACTAATGTCAGATTGCACACCCAAATCCTAGCATCACCCTATTCTCAGCACGTGGACTTAGAATGGAGACCAAGAAGTGCAAACAATGAAAAAAAAAATTTTTCCTTGAAACTCACACCACAGAGATGTGCTTGTGCATTTATATTGCCTACTCTTTTTAGCTTTCTGTGGTATGCTATGCTATGCTGTGCTTGGCCCCAGCAGCTGGGGCAGCTGCTCTCCATGCGGCACTTGTCCCAGGTGTCCGGGACAGCCGACCTTCAGGTTCTGCACAGCACTTAGCCCCGGCAGCCAGGACAGCTGCTCTCCATGCACTGCGCGGGACTTGGCCCCAGCGGCCTGGGCAGCCGCCCTCCACATGGCGTGCAGTGCTTGGTCTGGGCAGCCATGCTCCATGTGGCACCCAGTGCTTGGCCCGGGCAGCTGCTCTCCACGTGACACATGGCTTTTGTCTGAGGCAACTAGACCGCCAAGCGCCTCAGACGCCTATCATGCAGCCCCGCCAGCTGGATCGCATAGCAGCCACTGGAGCTGGAACCAGGGCCACGGTGAGGCTGCCCCACTAGGGACATTCTCACCTTGGCCTGGCTCCAGCCTCAGCATGCCCAGCTGCCTGCCGTGCCACTCATCCTGCTGCTATGGGAACCTCAGTGGATGGGGCTTATTAGCAGCTGGGGCTTGGCCTAACAGAGTACTGAGGCCCAGCCGACAGGGGTTCGTGGTTTGGAACCACTGTTTTATTGGACCAACCTCTGTTGGTGACAGAGACAGATTTAACATTTGTACTTTGCTGTTCTTCAGGTACTTGTCCATATGTGTATTCAGCTGTAGGTGTACAGTCACCTCACAGCATATACTTGTATTGTTGTTGTTATTGTTACCTCTTGAGGCTGCCTGCAATGTACATATATTCTCTGTAATTTTATTCGTTGAATTGTTGTTGTTTGTTTTTTGACTGGTCTATGCTTTTCATAATTTATATTTCTCTCTTATGCTTAGTTTAATTCTTTGAGTAGTCAGTTCTAAAATGTCTAACCTATCCTGGCTGAAGAAATTATCTCTATGGTAACATTTAAAAAATATAATATCTAGGTTTTTTGTTTTACTGGTAGTGCACATCTGCACATTGTCATGATATTGGTATACATAACAAAATTAATTTCACGCATGGAAAGAAAAAAATTGGAGGGAACAATGGTGCACATATGTCCTTGCATGGGAGATTTTATATATCTGTATCTATACCTGTGTTTTTAGGAGTTCTTCTTGATCTATATATGCACTCAGACTTTTTTGTGTCATTTCACTGGGTGTTTGGAGGACCCCAACTGCTACTTCTGTTTTTCCATACTGGCCTGAGATGGAATCTTTCTTTGTCTGCAGTCCTGGGGTTTGGCTTTCTCATTGATATTGACAAAATGATGGTGGCAAAAGGAGAACAAACACATGTATGGAATTAAATGGCAGACCTCAACTTTTATAAAACTATTAGCATAAAAAAGGCATTTCCCACCCCTCACTCCTGCTCCTCCATACCAGACATTTAATTGGCTCCAGTGCAGGAGTTACAGGATTCCTTACCATATAACCCTTAGTATGCAGTAAGATTTCTTGGTCTATCCGCCAGGACTCAGCTCTGTGAATCCTAACACCCTTCCCTCTGTGAGACCTCAGCATGCAAGGGCCACAAGGTCTGACTTTGGCCCACAATGATCACAGGATCTCACTCTGTCAGATGAACTCAAGGCCCCTCACCAAAATCCCACATTTTTTACTTCTGGGAAATGTTCTTTTTTGTGTCTCAACCACACTGAAAACTGACTACAAGTTGGGATGAGTAAGCAGGACCACCCCAGTACCTTTATTTAGGTACCATGCTTGTTCCTACTTAACCCACTGTCAGGGACTGTGGAGACAACAAACAATTCCCTGGGCCTCCATGAATTGGCCAATGGGAGAAAAAGATTCCTTCCTGATTCCCTAAACTGGTGGTCAGTTAGAGTCATGGTATCTGTCAGGAAGGGTTCCTATTCCTAGTTTGAATGAATAGGGTGACTTTCTGAAAAGGAGCCAAAAGAGGCTGTACATGCCCCCTGAACTGTTATATTCTTGGAGCTGAGTAATGCTGGCCAGTCAGCACTCCTCTCCCTCAACTGGCTAGAGGTGCCATAGAGTTCCATGGGAGCAGTGCTACCTATTGTCCCTTAGCAAGCACTTCTCTCCTGGGACTGTCTCCCTTTTATGGCCAGCCCCAGGAGTTTCCCCCATCTGTTGATGTGGGTGAGGTGGCATTCAGTAAATACATTTAGGTAGTGGTAGGATAGTTTTTTGTAGATAATATAAGTAGGCTTGGAAGAATTGGATTTTTATCAGTAAATGTTGGTAAACATTGATTTCACTGTACACATGCTGACAAATATATTAATTGACAGTCACAATTTACAGACAGATGACGTAAGAAAAATAGTGTTTGAAAACTTATCGGGAGTTTGATTTAAGGGTATTTTGACATGATATTGAGAATTCGTGTTTTAACAGTTACAAAGCTTTAGCTAGCTGTTTGAATTTTATGTCTACAGTCATTATGCAATTGCCTGATATCCTCCTCAACTGTGAATATTTTAGATGATGAAGAATAATAAAAACCTTAAAAGTAAACATTGATTATATCTGTTGAAATTATATTAAAAAATCAAATTCTGCCAAGCTAAGGAAAGTTTATTGTAAGATTTGGCCATATGGCTGTATCTATAAATTTTGTAGTTGTATTTATTTACTCAGATTTTTTTCCCCATCTCTTTCATTTATTACCTGATGGCTGGTACTGAGCACTTCATTTCAGGGACTACACATCTTTGCTAACACTGGTACCGAGCAATTTGCAGGTATCTAGTGTACCTGAATGCCATATTGTCACAAGATATACATTTATCCCAGCTATGAGTTATAAGACTCTCATTGATTTCAACTGATTCTCTGGTACTGGTTGTAAATTGGACTCTACTCTTTACCACTCTTTTCTCTGCTTCTCCTCCTTTTGAGCCAGATCATTCGTGAGATCTCTCCTCTCTCTTCTTGCCTATCATTTGGGAACTGCTTCCCACCCCCCTGTTTTGGGAGTATAGATAGACAACTCACAACCAGTGTGTCCCCTTTCATCTGGGTGGGATATAGCAGGGTCTTTCCTCTGATGCCCTCTCTATAGCCATTCTGGCCTGCAGTCCTCTACTTCTTCTCATGCATGGGCCCCCCCAGTCAGGTCCCATATAGTCCACACCTTCCAGGGTAAATCAAGTCCAGCACAATAGTAGTTTAGTTATGGGTCTGGATCCATGTCCCCAGGGATCTTCACACCACCATCCTCGATGGGCTCATAGAGGAACCTAGGCCCATCCTCTACTGTTGGGTTTCAGCTAGGGATCCTGTAGTAAGCAGGTACGGTCTCGCTATTAAAGCCTTCCTTGACCTGTCTCTGTGCCTTTTTTTTATAGCGCCTTCCTGGGCTCATTCTCCTCAGATTCTCAAAGGACAGTAGATGAGTTATGATGAACAAAGCAAATATGAAGGTCCTGCCCCAGATCTGTCTATCCCAGGGAGGCTCTAGCATCTAGTATTCTCAGGATAGCCTCTGGCCTTGCTCGGCCTTCCTCTAGGCAGGCTGTTTGTTTCCTATGGCCCCTGCCAGCCTCGCCTCCCCCTGCTCCCCCCAGCTCCCCAGCTCCTTCTGTTTGTCAGCCACTACTGACCTGGAGTTTTTCCTCTTTTAACACCTCTGCACAGGCTTGACACTTCATTTGGGCTTAATGGGGTCTGGGTTATTAAGCCCAAAGACTTTTATTAACCCCTTCCAGGCCAATATGGGGTGAATATACCCCATTGGAGGGGGTGATGGAACTCCTAACATTAGACAAATGGGTTCTGACATATCACCTGGCTACTTGGTTCATTTCCATACTTATATCTACTACTCACCCACCTTCCATTTCCCTTTTCAGAGACTCTCTCATAAGAATCTTGTTTTAGAAGAGAGTTCTCTCTCAACTCTCAAAACAATAGAGGGTCCTGTTTCTTACGTAGAGTTAGACTTCTGTTCCACGTTTTTCATTATACCGAAGAAGATTCTAGTTTTCAGAATGATGAACACCTTTATTTAACATCTGAAATTCAAGATTGTTACCCTAGACTCAGTAATACTGTCATTAGATCCAGAGGGTGTTGAAGCTTTCAGCCTCCAGGGGGCTTATTTTTACTTTTCCATGCATTTGGCAAACAAG